TTGGACTTAATGAAAAAGCTGGGATTTTCTGCCTTATGGTGCAATCACTCGCAGGTGCGCAACCGCATGTGCGGTTGTCAAGGTTCATAAGCGGAATTGGGCTTAGCCTGGAGCTGTGTCGCAAGTGCGTGAAGGCTCCCGCATATGCGAGCCTGCATGTGCGAGCAAGGCTCCGCAGATGCGGAGTGAAAGAAGGGCAGCCAGTGTCGCAGAAGTAAAGAAGCGACCGCAAATGCGGGTCTGCAGGAGAGGCCTCTTGCCCACAGAAGCGAAGGGAACCGCAGAAGCGGTTGAGTTTTCCGCAAAAAGGGGTGTCGCAGGTGCGGCTAAGTGGACCGCTGAAGCGGAACCCCCGGGCAGATTCTATTCATTCAAGGGCTCAGGATTTTTATCATTATTGGACATTTTGAGCTCGGGTTTGGTAATTTTTAGAGCATTTTCGAGGGGTTTCTTGAGGTAAGTCTTTTTTACTTATTTTTTATCAATAACCTTGTTTCCCCATTGATTTTTCCACCTAAATTATGTGTGTTTAAAGTGGAATTTAGGAGTTGGAGGCTAGGGATTTGTAGTGTTTAATTTGGGGATTTGAGTGGCGACTTGGTGTCGGATTTTGGTAATTTTCATATGGGTCAACTCGATATCGAATGGGTATTCGTATTTTGTGATTTTTACCCGATTCTGAGACGTGTGCCGGGGTCGACTTTTTGGGGCGATTTTTCGATTCTTACCTAAAGTCGTAGATTTATGATTTAAATTTGTTTCTTGTAGTTGTATTTATAATATGTAATTACTTTTGGTTAGATTTGGGCCATTCAGAGTCGGAAAATCGAGGGAAAGGTATCCTTATCAATTGATTGAGCGATATTTGAAGTAAGTGACTTGTCTAACCTTGTGTGGGGGAAATCCCCTTAGGATTTGATATTGTTGTAACAAATTGTGATATGCGAGCGCCGTGTATGCGAGGTGACGAGTGCGTACACGGGCTAATTGTGGAAATTTCGGTTCTTGCTGAGTTGTCTTCTTTTAAATTCCTTAACTGAGTTGCCTTAGCATATGTAGTTATCATGATTAGCCTAGTATTGCATGTCTACATGCCTTAACTCTTACTTGCAATTTGTGCAACATGCTTAGTTGAATTACCTGCTTCCCTTGATTTGAATTAAATCTTTAACTGTAAGATTTCTTACAGTAAATTCTTTGTTCCTTCAGGTCGGTTATCTGTTGCATATTTACCTTGGGACTACGAGGCGTTTAACGGGAGATCACCATGTCTTGCATATTTACTTTGGGACTACAAGGCTGTTCCTCGGGTGATCCCCCTGTCTTACATATTTACTTTGGGACTACCAGTTGGTACCTCGGGAGATCCCCCTGTTGATTTCCTTTATTTGATGTGCTCTTATTTTCTGAAACTTCTCGTTGTTTAAATTCTCAGTCATTTAAAAATATTATTATATCATCTTCCTTGCTTATCTTTTAAACCAGTAGGGCCCTGACCTGACCTCGTCACTACTCTACCAAGGTTAGTCTTGGCACTTATTGGGTACGGTTGTGGTGTACTCATACTACACTTTTGCACATCTTTTTGTGCAGATCCAGGTTCTTCCTACCAGGCCTGATATTAGTGAGTTGGACCGTGCATGGAGACTTTTAGGTATATCTGCCAGCGTCCACAGACCTCGGATTCCCCCTCTATCCTTATTATGGTGTTTCCCCATATTCTCTTTAGACCTTGATGTATAAAGATACTTAGTATTTTCTCTTAGAAGCTTGTGACATATTTCTACTGGTTTTGGGAGTTGTAATTATTTAAATCGCAGTTTCTATTTATATATCATGTGTTGAGATTGGAGTTCAGTTTATTATTTAGTTATTCCTCAAATTATGACGCTTACCTAGTCTTAGAGACTAGGTGCCATCACAACATCCTACAGAGGGAAATTAGGGTCCTGACAGTGATTAGGCTACGTGACGATATTTTGAGACCCATAGGGTCGTGTTGTTGTTGAATTATTTATTTTAAAATGTACATTTCATACTCACTCATGGTCATCCATTGTGAGGATATTTATGGGATAGAGTTAGGCGCCGCAACAGGCCATATTGGTTTTATATATATTATTATTACGGGATCGGACTACACGCCGCGGTAGGCCACATCGGCTTTATATAGCGCTTGGGCTGAAGGAGCCCCTCCGGAGTCTGCACCTCCCACAGTGAGCGTAGATGATTTTATATTTGGGATGGACTTCACAGGGCATGGAGTAGCCTTATTTATTTATATTAGGGATGGACTTCAAAGGGCATAGAGTTGCCTTATTTATTTATATTTGGCCTTGACATGGATCTTGTCCAAATCATTTATATTGGGGATGGATCTTCCCCTGGGCTGGATTGGCCTTGTACAATACTAAGTGACTGAATGCCAGTTGTTATATATATATATATATNGTGGAAATGCGAGATAGTGAGATTGAGTACTCTGGGAGTGTGAGTACATGAGCTCATCATTGTGATGCATTGCATTAGACATACATACTTGATATGTAGGCATAACGAAGCATTTTTTTCTCATGCCATCTGATAATGAAATTTCTTATCTATCATTAAAGTTTTTGAGAAAAATCACAGATCTCAGACTTACTCATGAGTTGCTATGAACATCACACATTGCTATGAACATCACACATTGCTATGAACATCATTGGAATAAGGCAATAAGGCAATTGGAAAAAGATACTTTTCTTCTTCCAATTGTAAGCATTGCTATGAACATCACGCTTTCTCTTTTGTCCTTTACCAAAAGTCACATTACCCAAAGCTTGTAATTGCACGCTTCATCACCTGTTAAAGGGTTAGGTGCAACTCCCATTTCAACTTTCCCATAAAATAACGTCCTACTTCTCTGCCATGGATGGTCCATGGGAAGGAAGTGACGATGACCCATATAACACAACTTACTATGCAAGGAAGTAGATTGTGTATCTTTATGGCAACAATGGCATGCAAGCTTGCCTTTGGTTGACCATCTTGAAAGATTTCCATATGCAGGAAAGTCATTGACCATCCACATGATAGCCACACGCATAAAAAAATTAGATTTTGAGTGCGCATCATAAGTCTCCACCCCGTCCCATAATTATTTCAACTCTTCAACCATTGTTTGTAAATATACACCGATATCATTGCCTGGACTCTTGGGGCCTGGAATAAGAAGTGTCATCATAAAATATGGATTTTTCATGCAATCCCATGGTGGCAAGCTATACGTAGCTAGTACGACTGGACAAATACTATGATTAGAACTCATGTTCCCATAAGGTTGGAACTCGTCACTCGCCAAACCTAATCGAACATTTCTTAACTCAGCTGAAAAGATGGGATATTGTTCATCAAAGGGTTTCCATGCTACTGAGTCGGACGGATGTCGCAAGACACCATCATCAATATTATCCTCCTTGTGCCACCTCATCTTTTTAGCTATTTCTCTTGCCATGTACAGTCTTTGAAGCCTTGGTTTGATTGGAAAATGCCGCAAGATTTTATGAGCTACTTTCTTGCCTCCATGTTCTTCAGACTTCCATCTAGACTTACCACACTTAGTACATGCTTGGACATCGGCATAAGCACACCAACATAAAATACAATCATTCTGCATGCATCTATTTTGGTGTACCCCAAGCCGAGGTCACAAAGAACTTTCTTTGCTTCATAGAAAGAATTTGGCACAAATGACCACTCGGGAAGAACTTCTTTAAAGAAGCTCAACAATGCATCCATCGATTTATTGCTCCAATGGTTAAGACACTTCAAGTGAAGTAGTTTAACAACAAAAGACAACTTCGAGACTTTTTTACAACCAGGATAAAGTTCTATCTCAGCATCTTCTAACAATTTGTAGAACTTAGTTGCATGTACATTTGGCTCTTCATTGTCCACTTAATTATTACTATTATTATCCTCCATATTCGTATATTCACAAGCATCGTGAATTATTTCAATAATATTATCCTCTTCAATGCTATCATCTTCTGCTTCATCACTAACTGCAGTATTAAAAGTGTCAACTCTAACTAACACTTCTCCATGAAAGTCCCACACTTTTTAAGAATTCCAGAAACCCTTCCTCAATAAATCTCCTTTTACACCAACCCTTAGCTTGAATACGGTATTCATACACCCTTTACAAGGAGACCGAATCATAGGGTTCACAATTGGTTGACTGAATGTGCAATTAAAAAAGTTGTCTACTCTATCTCTATACCTTGGGTCGACTATATTCCTAATATTCAACCAACTTTTATCCCATATCTATTTTCAAAAATAAATAAATGATTATCTAACTAAAAGTGGATTGATGATAATAATCAAAATATCTATAATAACTAACACACCAAAGAAAGATGAACAAATCAAATCACTTATAAATAAAATAGAATTATTACAGCAATATTTTCTTCTTACACACCTTTTGATTAACAAGGAGAACAAATAGTTTCATAAAAAAGAATTTATACACTACCACATAATATAAACATTTTAATGATAAACATATGTAACATATCTTACCCAACTAGACTCAAAGTGTCATGAATCTTACTTTTAATTCAATTCAATCGTTTTAACCTGTAGTGCTTCTATGAGCATGAGACTACATATTGTTGATGAAAATGAGATTATATATAACAGATACCGCAAAATATAACAGATACTACGAAATAAGAAGCTTTAAGTATTCAAGAAAGACATTTAATAAACTGCTCCTTTGCAATTCTTTTCAAACTTCATATCAAATGCAATAACAATAGAACTATGGCAAGGACTGAAAACAATTCCCTTTCAAATCCTAGGAAGAGAAAATCACATTGTTGCGATATCAAAATTGACATCTAACTGGTAAGGGGACATAACTGAAAGAACCTACGAAGCTCATATAATAATTCAAACTGAATAGAATGCCGACATGTAAAACGTCTCTCAAGAAGAAGATTCTAACTTACCCGGGAAAAGAGATAGCTGAGATTCTATCAAGATCGAGAATCGACAATAACAACACCAAATACGCTTCAAATGATTCTTTATGTGTGATTGTTTTGGTATTCCTATAGATTATCAAATGGCTCAGAGAAATTCGAGATGAAATCTGAGAATACAAAAGTGAAATTGCTGAAACAATAATTATCCCTAACTGCATGTTGAAACTTTCGTCTTACAAAATCATTATACAAAAATACTCAAATGTAAATATATCTTATATAAATCTTTATGGGGTTTTAGTTAGATATGAGATAGTAACAAATAAGAAGGAAATAATGCACGAAATCGACTAGGAACAGAAATCGTTTCTTTGATTCTTCCTCCACTGCACGAAATCGATCGATTATCAACTTCTTTCCCAAAAAAAAAATTAAAAGATTAGGGATTTGAACATACCTGGCAAATAAGATTCACATTTTGATTTGAGGGGTTTTGTTTTGGATAAAATTTTAGATGAAGACCTGATCGATTTGTAGAGAGAGAGAGCGTCAATATTCCAAAGAGAGTTCTCTATTCTTTCACTCACAGCTTTGTGGGTTCTGTACTTAGACAAGTTTTAATTAATTAGCTTATTTTTATTTAAATAATAGGAGCGACCTAGTCGCTGCAAGAGAGATTTAGCGGCGACTACACCATAGTCGCCACAAATATTATGGAGCCAAAATTTTATTTTTAGCGGGATAGAAAATTTCAGCCATATCAGAGGCGACCTAAAATAAGTCGATGCTTAAAATTATCCTTCTGCAGCAACTTTAGATGTCGCTACTAATAATATATCTATTGTAGCAACCTATAGGGTCGCTGCTATATGTTGCCACTAATAATCCAATTTCTTGTAGTGTCATATTTCAGTGACTTTTGGCAAACAATTTGAGTTTTACTATTATACTTAAAAAGAAAATATTTATTTTCCAGAACTGTATACGAGCTGAGCATGTTATTATTGAGTTATTACTTGTGCTGCTTTAAATTATATTGTTATGACTGTTGTTGGTTATTGGAGTTGGACTCTGACCTTAGTTCAAGCCCGTCACTACTTTCCACCTAAAGTTAGGTTTGTTACTTATTGATTGAGTACATGGTATCGGTTATACTCATACTATATTTCTGCACCTTGAGTGCATATTTTTGATGCTGATGTTGCTGCGTATGACAAGAGTTGGATCTGGAGATATACTTGTGTTCCAGTCAATTGCTGCCTCTTGTTCGTGGTAGCTCCAGAGTTATTAATTTGTTCATATATATTTCAAATAGATGATGTATATTTATTTCACACCAGATTTGTAAATTCTAATCTTAGAAGCTCATGATTTGTACTACCATTTCTTGGTGAGTATATTAAAGTCAGTTAAATATTAATTAAATCGGATTGTTGTTATTTGGCTTACCTAGCGGGTGAGGTTAGGTGCCATTACGGCTAGTTGGATTTTGGGTCGTGACACTCGTCCCAACGATGGATGGCGTGACAACCTTCTTAAGGGAATAAGTTTGTTTTTGATGTTTAGGTAACTAATAGTAGTAGTAATGAATAAAAAGACCTAATTAAGTCAGGCTCGAAGACTCAAACATGCTTCATTTGGTACCAACACACTTAACTACGTGTTTATGGTTAGGAACAAGGTTTTTAAAGAAATAGCTCTAGTTAGTGACTTTGTGACTCATGTGTTTACTTTAGGAACCATCGAGTGGTTTAATTGAACTATAGTGATTTTCAATCTTGAATGTGGTCGTTGTGGGCCCTCGACTCTATCCTTTTTAACAATCCAGTTGTGTGAGGGGTGAGATACTTTGTTGCTAGTCCAAGTACCCGTGCGAAAGGTCTAGAACTTACCCCATATTTGTTTCAAGGCGAAATCCTATGTTTTGCTTGGCTTGAGAAGTTATTGTAGGCTTTCCTTGGCCCGTTTGAATTTTTTATTACCTACCATTGTTGTTATCCCTAGTCAACCCATTTGAGCCTCGAGCCTTTCTCATTTGATAACCATATTACAAGGCTTTACCCGTTTTTTCGTGACCCTCTCTTGGCATTCCTTAACTCTCTTGTGAAACAAATGGCTAAAGAGGTAAGTTTGGGGGAGAGACGAGGAAATTGAAAAAGGTATCAATGCACAAAAAAAAAGAAAAGAAATGATGAGAAAGAAAGACAAGAAAAGAAAAGAACAAAAAGAAAAATGCAAGAAAATGAATAAGTGGAAGAGTTGAAGGGATTCAAAGAGAGGTAATGATCCCAAACATGGAGAAATCAAAGAGGAAGAAAATGAATGTAATGATCAAGAAAGAGTGATGTTAAGTCTCGCTAGTTCCCCAAGGAAAAGAAAGTGCCTCAAAAAATTGTTAAAGTGTGAGCCGAGAATAAAAAAATTGAGTGCTTAAGGAAAGGTGTAACCACTCAACCATATTGTATCCAACCCTAATCCAAAAGCCTTCATTACATCCCAAAAGAAGTCCTATTTTATTTCAAGCCGAGTGAGCTTACATTAGTGGCAATCTACATGAGGGGTAAGCCTATGGTATTTGAAGCTGTATAAGCGATATTCTCTTGAGAGAGATGAGTGAACCTTTCATAAATCTTTGGATTGAGTGCTAAAATGCTTATGTGAGCCAGGCAACCGGAAAGTAGTGGAGGAAGAGTTTGGAGTCCACCATGACCTACATGATAGAGAAAGAGTACTTGATGAGTAAAGCCAATTGTTGATGCTCGAATGTCACTTTAGAGTTATATGTGTATAAATGTTTAACTTGTCGCCTTGTTGATAATACATAAGTAGTGTGGGTAATGTTTGGTCCCAACTGATGTGTGGATAGCTCACCATTGACTCGCTGAAATGACCCTTAACTTTTGGAGGTGGGAACTAAATTATTTACTTGGGAACAAGCAAAGTATTAAGTTTGGGGAAGGTGATAAGTGGGGATTTTGACTACTTATTAGTGCATTTTAACTTTTGTTTAAAAGCATTGAATTGTGTTCCCGAAACTAATGAAATTGTGTAAAATTGCAGGAATGTTGAAAGTTGGGCTCCCTAGATAAAATCCGGCTCAAAAAGGAGTAGTCTAAGCACAAGGCAATAAAAGGCACAGAAGCACAAAATGTGCGGTCCGCAGAAGAAATTGCGGACCGCAGAATTCCATCTACAACTGCAAACAAAGAAGGAACAATTAGCTGGATTTTGTGAAAATTGCGGACCGCAGATGAATTGTGCAGTAGCAAAAGATGGGTTAAGAGTCAAGATCAGAGAGTAAGCAAATTACCAAGTCCAAAACCTCAGTGAATTATAGACAACACAAGAATTGTGCGGTCGCAATTTAGAAATGTGCAACCGCATAACTCTAGCTCCTGCCAGATGAAGAAATCTGCGGACCGCACATGGAATTGTGCGGTCGCAGAACCTCCCGAGTGGTATTTTGTCTGAGATTTTCAGCCTTGTATAAATAAATGAGTTTCAAAATTAGGTTAAGTTTGAAGCTCTGAATTTACTATAGCTATTTTGCTTTGCCATTTTTGGAAGTTTACTTTGCAAAGTGTATTTTACAATAGATTTAATCATTTTAAGCTTTCACTATGAGTTTAATTAGTCTTTCTTCTCTATTTTCTTCAAACCCAAGTATGAGTAGCTAGATTTTTACTAGGGTTGTAACCCAACCCTAGTGTGTAAATCTTATGGGTATCTAATTTAGTGCTTGTTTATAATTGGATATTTATTATTTAGCTTAGTTCATGCTTTAATTGTGGAATTAATGGCTGCAAATATTAATTCATGCCTATTTGACTTAGTCTCTACTTGAGAAAGAGAGACCTAGACTAGGATAACTTAGCTAACAAGGAATTGGGTAAATCAAGAAATTGATTAACCAAATTAAAGGGTTCAATCTAGGGATAGTAATAACCCGACTTGAGCTTTTATTAACTGTTTTGTGTGATACCCATTTGGTCTTGAGAAATCCAAATTGGGCAAAACCACTCTCTGACCGAGAGGTATTGAGTGGGTAATTTAGAGTTGATAGCTATAATACACCTCAATCAATAAAATAAGCATTAAAGTTTTTATCCCATCAAGCAAACACCTAGGTAATGGTCAGAGTCCTATACTTTTCATCAATTTGGAAAAACCTCAAAAACAATTATCTCTAGTCTTCTTTCTTTATTTTGCAATCAATAGAGTAAAATTAGAAATACAAAACCAATCTTTTAGTGGAAGTGCAATCTAGATAATTCAATCACACACATTGAAATATATACCCCTAACTCACATCTTAGCTCCCTGTGGATTCGACCCTGACTCTTAGTTGGGTTTCTATTATTGCAAACGACCATTTCATACATCTATTGAGGTGTGTTTTGGACGCGATCAAGCGGGTCGAATGCCTCGGTAGGATTATGTACCACACTCTCATGGGAGCGGGTCGTTCACCTCGGTAGTATAATAGATGCATCTATAGTTTGTGCCGCTCGACCCTCGGCAGTGTATACATTATGATCGGATTGGGACGATTGCCTCGGCATTATCATATTCCTTCTGAGATCTCGCCGTACGACCTCAGTATAATCGTACGTTATATCGCTAGTAGCCCGAATATTTGTGAGATTGTCCTTCCACTGATGCCTTGCATTTTATATGAAAATTTTTATCCGTTTACTATTGGCACTTGATATTATCGAGCTGTCGAGATAGAATACGAGATTTAGAAATTTATATTGTTAAAAGAATTTTTGGAAGATTGTGTTAGTTACAGATTTACCTTACTACTATTGTTGTACTCTTATATGTTTATGATTTACCATATTGATTTATTGGACCACTAGTAAGAGTCGATGTCGACCCCTCGTCATACTTCTCTGTGGTTAGGCTTGATACTTACTAGGTACGTGTTGATTTATGTATTCATACTGCACTTCTGCACTAAATGTGCAGGATCTGCTCACGTGACCTGCATTCCAGGCTACGCATCGCAATCCACAGAGTCTCCATCCTACTATTTATTTTATCCTTTCTTATTTACATTCTAGACAGATGTTGTATTATTATTGTACTCCTTAGTAAATTTTCATGCACTTGTGACACCGGGTTTTTGTAAGTCCCCGTAAAATTTCGTAAAAGAATTTAAGTTTTTGTGGTGCCGAACTAGGATCACGTGAGACGGTGGCCGAACACCAAGTAAAGTTGTCAGCAAGTGAAGGCCGAACACCAAAGGCCCGGTGGGTTGGCACAGAACATAGAGCTTCCAATGTGGAAGTGGGAAATGATTAATATGGACTTTGTGGTAGGACTACCTCACACTCCTCGTAAGTTTGACTCGATTTGGGTGGTTGTGGATCGACTCACGAAATCAGCCCACTTATTGCCGGATAAGACTACCAATATAGCGGAAGAGTATGCTCAGTTATATATCAAAGAAATAATTAGGTTGCATGGCACTCCAGTTTCCATCATTTTTGATTGGGGAGCACAATTCACTGCTAATGTTTGGAAGAAATTTCAGCAAGGTTTGGGTAT